TATATATATATATATATGTATATATATGTACAAGTTTAGAGCGAATAAACTAGAACATTCTTTAAAAAACCCAAGTTTGCTATTCGTGTTTGAAGATGCCGATGGGTAAAGAAAAATTTTTCGAATTTCTTGGCTTATTTTTGTTAAATTTTTGGATTTTTTGCAGGGGTGCAAATGCTGGAGCATTGTCGTGTGGAGGAAGTGTTGACTGATAAGGAGAAAAAAGTGATCGGGGTACGCACAAACCGGGGTACATTCGATACGGGATGCTATGTTGATGCTACGGGCATTGTAAGCTTCCACCTTGATCTACAAAAATGATTTTTTCTCTAAAAAAAAGCCAAATTTGAATCGTATCATGCACAAAAATAGCAATATGTACCCAGCAATGCGTCCAAGATTGGCCTTGCTGAATCGAATCCACGAAAAAAAAGAGAAAAAAAAAACCAAAAATACTCAAAAGCAGTATAAAACATCATTAGGCATTTGAATACTTTCTTGTACAAAGAGATTGGTCTGACGAGGTTTTTTTCTTATTTCCAGTGGTGTGGTACAACACTAGTGAGTCGGGCACCATCTCGTCGTGTTGTTATCACAGCGCATCCAGCAACTTATACATATCTATCAACAAAACATCTGCCTGAAAAAGATATCAACAATAAAACACCAAGTACACTTTTGATGCTTTTTTTTGAAGAGTCATGCTCTTCAGCTAATAAAAATTAAAGTTTTGTCTTTAAATTGTACTGTTGAACTTCTCTTTGTTTGCAGCCCTCCGGACAGGCTGTTCATAGTTTTTATTAATATGATCCTGATAGGACTTCTACTGCCCGCACTGCTCTTCCTATTTTGCCCCTGACTGTATTGGCTGGTGTTTACAGCCCTCTAGGCGGGCTGTTCATAGCTTTTATTGATATGATCCTCATAGGGCCTCCACGGTCCGTACTGATCTTCCTACTTCTCTGCTCTAAGTGAATATGTGTATTGAGTTGATTTGAATGCCTGTTTCAGTTTTTACTCACGTGGACGAAAAGACATATTTGCGTTTGGACGAGTCTCGAACGTTGTGTGCTGGTTTTACCGAAGAGCAAGCACGTGCACTTAGTCGACAAAGGGTACTGGGGCAGTGGGTTGTACCATCAGCGGACTGGGAGAAATTCTGTAAGATTTCTTTTTTTATATCATTTAAAGATGACATTTTAATTATTAGGCCATCTCAGAAGAAGTTGCTTACATAAATCGAGCAGGTTTTGGGGGCTGACTTGAGACTGAAGGACTTGGCATAGCTGCGCCCGACGGCTGGGAACATCTTGACTGTTTTGTTAATGCGAGGCGCTACGTCGGTTGTTCGAGCGACCTTGGTATTTGTATTATTTGGTCCCAAAAAGTGTTTTTTTTTTTTTT